TTAACTCTCTTAAAATGTTTAATTTGTATTTTTTATAAGGACCTTAAAACAAGAAGGGAATAAAAATCCTTAAATAAATAGAAATAAATAATGATCAAGAATAATGAATTATAATTTTTAAAATGTGGAGATTGAAATTCCCTTAGTCTTATTTAAGGTTTAAGACCTACTTCCATATACAGCATATTCAATTTTTTTCTATACTTTTCCGCACTGTTAGGAACTGGACCTGAATTTTTGTTGTTCCCATTGTATCTGTGCCAAATTGGTGTAATAGCACAACAAGTTATTAGCCAATATATATTAAGGTAATCAGTAAAAACACATTAGCCCAAAGTAACCCATTCACCTTGCTTCATATGTGTAGGGTGTAAAATGCACCCTTCAACCTTTTTGACCCATGCGTATCTATAATCTGTTCCAGATTTATCTATGCAGCTGAATCTCTCCATGTTTGAATACAACGGTCGGAGTGGCTACAGACTGAAGCCTGAGTTCATGAGGAGGCCGGACAAGCACTTTGACCCCTTCACGGAGAACACCGTGGACGGCATTGTAGCAAACATGCTCTCTGTGAAGGTAAAAGTTTGAAGGCCTAGAATTTAATGTAGTGAAAGTGAAAACTTTACAACTAGGAATGTCCGATAATATCGGCCGGCTGATGTTATCGGCCTGATATAAGCAAAATGATGCAATATCTGTAAGAATCGTTATCGGTCTTTCCTGCGATAATGAAAACGATATGGCAATGCCTGGGTTTTGCCAAAAATATGTGTACACTAAAAATAGTTTTGGGAAAAACGGCTGTATATGAAAGTGACAGTCACTAGATGGCAGCATTGCAGCTCATTTTATTATCAGTATCGGTTGATATTGGAATTGGAAATTAAGAATTTGGACAATATCGACGTATCTGATATCGACAAAAAGTCAATATCGGACATCCCTACTAATGACTGTATGACTTAATTCACTTAGATGAAGATGAATCACATTATCTATTGTAACAATGTCTTATGGTTATCGTTTGTCCCCGTACGTCCAGGTGATTTCCGGCCAGTTCTTGACTGAGCGGCGGGTGGGTGTGTACGTGGAGGTTGAGATGTTTGGACTACCTGCAGACACCAAGAGGAAAGCACTGAAGACGAAAACCTCTCAGAACAACGCCATCAACCCAGTGTGGGATGAAGAACCAATCATCTTCAAGAAGGTGACAACGTAGTGGAAAAAATACTAAAATAGCAAGGCAAGGGTTAATGTTCTATTGTCTTTGACTTGTCTCTGAACAGGTGATCCTTCCAACCCTGGCCTCGCTGAGAATCGCAGCTTATGAGGAAGGAGGAAAGTTTATCGGCCATAGGATCATTCCCGTCTTGGCTATAAGACCTGGTATTTTTTGTTTATTTATTATCTTTTGTTCCATTTCTCTGTCCATAGTTTAATATTTTCACTATTGAATTTGAGTCACTTGGTTTTAGCTTTAAGCGTTTAGCTGATATCAACAGTTCAAAACAGAGACTGTCGGCCGACAGTGTTTATTTCAATCTACTGATCCCAAAAACTCCATTAATAACAAGGAAAGAAATGCTGTTGCTGTTTTTGAAAAAAAAAAATCATTGTTATTTTGCATAAAATTCACATTTTTCCTAAATCTTGACATGTTTGATGTCAAATGTGCACCGTCCTTTACTAAATAAATACATGTTTAAATGTTCCTTCCGCACAGAATAAAGTTAATGCCCATTTTATGAAGTGATTCTGACTAAGTTAAGTTAATGATAAAAGGTTGACTGATGTCGACCCTTCTTCGAGTCGATTTTTTTTATCAAAGCCCTACTATAG